CACAAATACTATCTATTGCTGAACATTTTATTTTTTAACTCATTCATGTAATTATTATTTTATATAACAGGAAATATTTTTTATTAATATTTAACAAAATCTTTTATGGTATTATGAAATAAATTCGTAATATGATTTTAGTAATGAAATTTTTGTATACTGGATTAAAACAAATAATACCCAAAATATTTATCATTACTCACTGCAATGGATATACCTACTGCACTTGCATGTTATCACCTAAATCACTCAATAGTGATATGTTCCAAAGTTTATAAATAATTATTCTTAATTTCCAAACAAATATTGTTTATATTATAAGAACAAATTTTTCGTGTACTGCTGATAAAATTTTTTTTATAAAGGCAAAATTGGGGTTTTAGCGAGTTTAAAAATGAAGTAATTAGCCATCCAAAATTAATTTATTCTCAAACCTCTATTGACAGGAATGGAGTTTAAACTACTTTTTCTAAAATAAATGCCACTACAAAAAAAAAAACCCCGCACAGGAGGGTCACGGCACAATGGTGTCGTGGTATAGTTGAATCATGTATAATGATTTCTGACAGTGATTAAAATCACTATAAAAAAAAAACGCTTCGATGCAAATCTTATTATATACTAGAACAAGGAAAAAAACGCTTTTCTGGGAAAATTACTTAGCGTGCTCGGAATTTCAAAATTTTTTTTTCAACGAAAGTACTCGGTCACCAGACTCCAGGAAAATTATTGGCGAAGGTGGCAAAATTTTTGCCGCTCGCCCGCGAGCGTTTTAAAATTTCGACCGTTTTCGAGAAAAACGCTCGCTGACGCCAGCGTTTTACGACTTAAGGTTTGAAATTTTCATCAGACCCGCTCAATGACATTCTTGAGATGTGATAAAAAAATCAATTCAATCCGTTCATTTTTCACCGTTTTACAAGCTTTTATTTTATTTTTATTTTTTTAAGTCCACGCGCATGGTTTTATTATGCACAGTGATTCATTTCTGCTGATACGTTTATTATGAACCTTATATGTTCATATATGTTATATTTAAATTTCAAGACGTTATAATTATTTAAGGTTGTATTTTCATTATAAGAACAGTACTAAGTACAGAGTTAATAATTTTCTTTTTTCTCATATATGATGTATGAGATTATGAGTTTATCTTTTGAATTGGGATTCATCTATGATAACTATGATGTTCATCGTTAAATCGCAGTTACCAATATATTTATCAAAATTGAATTTTTATTTTTATTTTTATTATTAATTTTAATTTAAATTTACAATGTGCTACTTATAATAACCTGCTAATTTTTTTTTTAATTATTCTATAATATAAACACAATAATTATAATTACATTATTAATAATTTTTGTGTATAACAGGGGTGTATTTAAAAGAGATTGGCCCCTCCTTGAACAAGCGCTATCAATATTTTTTTAGGCAACTTCTAATATATAAGGACCTAATGTCCTTTTTTATCATCATTACTTTAGTTTTAGCAAAAAAATTTCTATAACATGTTCAACAAAGTAAAAAATATTAAATTTCCTCCTAAAATAATTTTTGAATAGGCCTAAAGGGAATACCTCATTAAGAGGCTTCAACCTTATACCCAATACATTTTACTATATTCTCTTTTTGAATTTTCCTGATTTAATAATAACATTTTTAGATATAGTTTTCTATAGTTTTCACTGATTCTGAAGTAATATTTTTTCTGAAAAACACTTATCGTGCCCGGCGTAGCCGGGTACTTCTACCGGAATCAGTGGCCTACTTATGATGACGGCCCGAAGAGACTTACGCGCCGAAGGCGCGTAAGGCTCGAAGGGCCCCGGGTCTGGGGCGGAGCCCCAGCTAGGCGGAGCCTAGTA